GGGTCAAATGTCGTAAAATCTTCAAGCGACTTCTTTTCAATAAGCAAAAGGGCCAGGGTACTGAAATTGGGCCTGTAGCATGTTGGGATGAAGGACTACCATGTTAGTTCAAATGAATGACCTTGATCCACTTTCAACCTAATGTCCTTGTTCAACAATCAAGGTCAGAGGCGTCATATGTTTAAATCTTTTAATAGGTTCTTATGAAATCTTAAGATTACAAGTGTTAGATTAATAACAGGTGAGCGATGCAGGCCAATTGGGCCTCTTGTTTTTAATAAATACAACAATAAAAAGTGATGTTGGTTGCCATTCTCATCATTCATTAAAAGGAAAGATCCGCTTTCTCTAATGTATGTATCATACGGCACCTGTAGCCCATTGAATCAAATTTGGTTTCAATAGTCACCCCTTAGCCTATCACATTATCGTAAGGTGTTACATATTGTGTATGTCCACTTACAGCTTGGCCAGTTTTCTGATGACAGGCACTGCTCCAGACTGAGGACTTTGATAGCTCACTACACACCTATACAGGTAAACATGTTGAAATTTGTTTTTGTATTTGAAATCCTCTTAGTGTGACAAAATCTAAATATGTTAGTCTTTGCCATCTCTCTGTTTTTGTTATGCAAAGCAAAATATGTTTTTCAGGATTTTTTTCTTCTAATCTGTAAGTTCTTGAACAATCGATGTAAGAACGAAGATTTTTTTAACTACAAAAAAAAAATTGACAGAAAAAAATAAAAAGTTGGAAATCAGCTTTTTAGCTGGTGATTTTTCAATCTGTTGTCAATATTTAATGTGCATTTCAGGTTTTATTTGAAAAGAACAAGATGACGGCAAAGACACAATTAGTGCTTAGAAACAACCTGACATCTGTGTCAAAAGAAGGCTTGGCGTCCGGATCAGAGTTCTGGGATAGCTCCAAAACACTCAAACGCCTAGCTGAAGAGGATTACTTTAAAGACAACGATGAGTTTGTGTGGCCAGCTACGATCAAGAAAATGATCTCTGAGAGTAAGATATTCAAATATTTGTTTTTTGAAACATCAATTTCCACAAATTACATATTTTGAAAGAAATTTGATTGATGTACAGTTTGTACAAACAAAATGTGCAAACACATATATAGATGAGATTATATAACAATTTTAGGTTAAATTCTAAATTCTTCAATTGTTGGTCAAAGAAACATTTCCTTATTTCCAGCGGATGCTCTAGGGTTGACTGCTGCAGATGAGTACAGTCTGGCTGTACGGGCCCTGGGGGCAGTCACATGGTAGGTAGTCTCTGTGTGAACTTATAATTTCAGTGTAAATAAAAAGATTAACATTCTTTGCATCAACAGAGTGCTATACATATCATAAATGAATGTTATTTATGAAGGCTATTGTTGAGACTTGCAAGAATCGTAAAAGTAACCCATGCATTAAAAATATTGGTCTTTGATTATGTTATGAACTATTATTTAGGCCTTTTGGGACTCTTCTCGCTGCTCTGACCTTGGAAACTGAATTGTAAAATATAGCTATGTTCAGAAGCTTTTCATTTTGCTTGACATAGTATCAGGGCCCCTTTGATTTAGACTTTCCTTTTTCCACTCCTGCTGCTCAGCATGCTGTAAGTCAGATTATTCAGGACTATTCACTTGAGCGGCATAAACTGCCGCATTAATACTGAAAATAGGGGCCAGATATGTATGTATATTTGGGGGAATTCTGCAAGTGCAAAAAATATACAAAATTAATCACTGTGTTAGATAAGTGTTATAGGCTACATTGTAAAGTACGTTTTAGGTACCTACAGTACAGCCTGCTAGACCAGGAACTCCTCTCCATGAACAATTTCGAAGAGTACTGTCCCTTGGATGATATTGAAGTTACAGAATGTAAAAAGGAGACATTTGCTGGTCGTCAGCACATGGTAGGTATTATATGTCAATGTAAGAATTTAGACAAGCGCAAAGAAGATGTCATCCCAATATAATATTAAAACAATAATGTAAAACCTTAATATTATAACATTAACATTATCATATAAGATCATGGAAGTGAAGATTTAGAAGCTTGTTATTGACATGACCTAAATCCATTTCCCTGCAGGTTGAATAGTAAAGCACTGGACTTGCAAGCATTTAGTCATGTTTTAAATCCATTTCCGAAGACTGTTGATGTCTGTTACATTGGTTCCCAGGTAAAGAGCTGGTTATCTTCCATTTCAATCCTCCTGGGTGCCATATCATACAGTTTTCTTCAGTGTAAAATTGTATTAAGTTTTGACATAATGTCAAGAAAAGTGTCGTCGTTAATGATTTGCTAGGCAAAAACTTAAGTTTAAGATTTTTTCACGACCCCAGGGCCTGGTCATGCTCTCACAAGTATGATTGCATTCAGGAAAACTAGGTCATTCTAAGAGGAGAGCGGGGTAGGGGGGAGTATCACATACCCAGGTACTGTTTAACATGTAACAGACTAAAAACATTTTGTAGCCATGTTAGATTTGACTGTTATATTGTAGGTGTTGACCATTGTGTAGCCGTGTGAGATTTGACTGTTATATTGTAGGTGTTGACCATTTTGTAGCCGTGTGAGATTTGACTGTTATATTGTAGGTATTAGACGGAGTGACCCTAGCTAACCTGGACATCACAGAGAACTCGGCCAATGGTACACTGGAGGGCACTCTGCTGGAACAGCTTGATCATTGTAACACACCATTTGGTAGGTAACCATGGTTACAGTAACTGGAGCATGATTAACCATGGTAAGGTTCTGTAGTAGGTAACCATAGTAACAAGCAGTTTATTGAAACCCATGTAAGGCTTGGTAATTATTGTGTCGTGATGCAGTCTTAGTTTGATTTGAAATATCATTTGACTTTTGATAAATTCTTGACCTCTGTCAAAACTAGAACCCAACCAACTTTTCTCTGAAAACATTTGGTCCTGATGTGGTTGGTCACTCCTGATTCCTGGGACACCCATGTGTTTGAAAGCTTTGAATGTTGTATTGATATAACGTTGTAGATATTAGTAATCACTGGTTGTGTTATCAATCATTTATCCCTCTGTTTCATACCTATATGTAAGATAGATAAAAACGGACAGTTGAAGGGAAGTATTTTGATAGTTCAAACCGTTCTGTTTTAAGGAAGAAAGCATCAATATTTGGGAAAATCTTGCAAAACATTTTTGATTTATTGATGAAATTAAATGATTGATGATTTTATTTCCCCTCCAGGCCGCCGCCTGTTCCGACAGTGGCTGTGTGCTCCACTTTGTAACCCGGTCTCCATTAACGATCGTCTGGATGCTGTTGAGGATCTCATTGGCTGTCCAGACCTAGTTGCTACAACAACAGAAATATTAAAAAAATTACCAGACCTTGAGCGATCGTTAAACAGGTGAATAGTAATTAACGTATTGATAAAAGATGTATCAGTCACAGAATCAGACATTTCTTAATGTAAAAAAAATTAGGACTTTTTCACAAGTGTATCCAGGTATTATATTAAACATTATTTTAATAAGATACATCCAACAAATGTCTATTGCCCAAATTGGACCACAATCACCTTATTACTCAAACGCTTTATTTAAATTTTACAGAATCCACAGTCTAGGATCAGCGTCCAAGAGTAAAAACCATCCCGACTCTCGTGCTATTATATATGATGAAGCCAAGTACAGGTAACTACTTGGACAGTTTAGTGTGAACAACTGATTTTAAACAACATCACCTGCATGAAACGTTTGTAATCTAAGTAGCTTCAGTAACCATTGACAATTTATCGTAGCAAAGACCTTGGCTCTTGTGGTCTTTAAGAATTGAACTGCTTTTTATTGGTATTCACAGGCAATATAAATGCCAAATAGACAAAGACAGATTTAATGTAATTTCTACAAGTACTATATGTTGAATCTGCCTTTGTCATTTTGGCATTGATATTGACTATGAATGCCAACAGCAAGCAGTTCAATACCTAATTTTCCTTTTTTTGGAATATGTTAATCAAATAGAATATTACTACAAACATATATTAGCAGTAATCTTGTTTTAGTGCTTTTTGCACTTTAAATTTTGTGCTAAATTATGTATTGTTATTTTTTGCATATTTTGTGGGTGCCCTAATTCATCAATGTGCTAATTTGTTAAAATTTGATAATGCCCTAAAATTTCAGTGCACTAAAACAAGTGTGTTTACAGTATATATTTGATCAAAATCCAACATTTAGATCAAATTAGTGTATGCTTTTTATGTGCTTGTTCATTGAATAGAACGCAGCCCTCATTCAGGGAGGGTCAGTGGTGTGTACAATGTTACAGTAATAATGTCGTAATAATAGTGTCAACAAACAGGCTTTGGCCATCCCCAATACTCCAGTGGTTACACTCACTTTTCTTCACTTTCTCTCTCTGCACATCCTCAATACTCCAGTGGTTACGCTCACTTTCGCTCTCTACACCCCTGAAATATGTCATAGCAAAATTGAAGGCTCAGTGTGCACCACCTTGTGGATGAGACGAGAAGACTAGTTGAATGTACATCAAAAGAATATTGCGGTCGCGTACAGTAAAATTGACTGAAGTCAGATGTTGCTCCTCTGTAATCTAGCAATTGGTCTTTTTTTTTTTCTTTTTTTTCCTGAAACCAATCAAATAGCTAGAAGCATGCCTTCAATTTTGCTATGACATATTCCAGGGGTGTAGAGAGCGAAAGTGAGCGTACCCACTGGAGTATCGAGGATGTGTAGAGAGAGAAAGTGAAGGCTACAAAATGTAGTATAAAGGATGGGCTATGGCATCCTTAGCTGATACAATTACCATCTGAGTTTGGTAGTGTTATATAGAGACAGGGTCATGCAATGGTATTTATTCATGCAAATTTTCATTGAAATCGAAGCTACTGTAACTCAATATTCACCAAACAAAATACAAGACGTCAACATTTTTCTTACAGTAAAAAGAAGATTGAGGACTTCTTGTTAACAATAGACGGGTTCAGGGCCATGTCCAAAGTAGCCAAGAAATTCCAAGGTCATGTCAAGGACTTCAAGTAAGGACGTTGTACTTACAGATGTGTACAGTAATAGTTCACCATGTAGAAGAGCAAGTGTTTCCTTTTCAGACGTGGAATTATTAGAACCTGCAGGTGTCAAATATAAGCTACAAATTCCCGCATTTTTCTGATCTAGCAATATATATGGTTTTCCCGTTGAATTTCATACATATCACTCATGGCTATACATTGTGGTATACCTCTACAGATCTACAAAATAAATCTTGTACAAGAGAATAGCTAACAGGACAAGTATTAACAAATGGGTATCAATATGCAATACTACAAAATAATGAAACTGACGTTGACATTTAAACGTGCAGTTAAAAATGTACATTTTCGTGCCTCGGGATAATTATTGAGTGGCAATAATGCAATCATTTTATTGAATATGAACTTATGTAGATGAGGATAAAACTTAATAGGTAAAGTTACACCGTATTTGTTATGAAACAGCCTACTTTAAATGTTGTTATTGCTGTCCATTTGAATACACATCATATCTCATCAGCATCAATGGAAAGTGGGATTTTTTTCTCTCACTTAGGAAAGGGTGAAATTTGCCCGAAAGTTTAGTATCTCTGTGTTATTTTGTTTCTCTCCTGACAGGTCAAAATTATTAACAAAGACGATGACAATACAGAATGAGGAGGAAAGTGACGGACATTTTCCTGATCTCCATGACGACATAGAGTTCTTCGAGGTAAGTGAAGGAAATAAAAAAAATTGAAATTTGAATTTTGAATTGACCAGTAAGTGGTAAATATCCCTTTTCTTGATATGCCTGAATGTGATATCCTGTAATATTTCAATTTGGCAATTGTTCTCATGAAAAAAATGAGGAAAAGAAAAATATATCTTGCCTTTTTATATATGTGCTAATAGTAAAATATGTAATAAATCTTGCCTGATTAAAGTGTCTAGAATAGACAAAACATTGCAATTATTAAGACTGATTCATCTTTAATCTTAACTGTGGAAATTTAGAAACTCCTTTTGGGTAATGTTTCAGAGCCAATATAATGAGGTTTAGGTAAAATACAGTAAAACATTGTATACATTACACTCCAATGCACTGCTTTTAGTAGAAGATCTTGTTATAACGGAGCAACTGAGGGCTTTTCCAGAAATAGAGGGAGGGGAGGCAGGAGAAATAGAGGGAGGAGAGGCAGGATAAATAGAGGGAAGGGAGGCAGGATAAATAGAGGGAGGGGAGGCCGGAGAAATAGAGGGAGGGGAGGCCGGAGAAATAGAGGGAGGGGAGGCAGGAGAAATAGAGAGAAGGGAGGCAGGAGGGCAATTTTGTTGTTGCCTCCACCAAGTTGTTTTCCTGGGGCCTACTATACACCATCACCCAGTGTATCATCATTACTACCTCCCCCTATATATAGACCTAGCAGGGAAGCTCCTGCTTCTATAAAAGACTTTTAAAAATCAGTATGAAAATTCCTAAATACAAAGAGATACCAAATCAATTATTCTCAACTCACTGATAGAACAGATGGCTTGATTCAGGCTTAAAATGTGTTCATTCTACATGTTAAAAGTAATGAATCTTTAAACATGTTTTTGCAGCATTCATTTGACCACAATAAGGCAAAGAAGGATGGAGTGATAGTACCCAATAAAGGTAAGCACCCCAATACAGTGTAACAGTGTAAGCCGACCAAAGGTAAGCACCCTACTATAGTGTATTCAGTGTAAGCTGACAAAGATAAGTCAGGGGATTTATCAGGGTACTTTTTGGGTCTGTTCCTCAATATGGCATACCTGCTAACCCCTGAATCTCCCGGGGGGGGGGGGGGGGGGGGGGGGGGGGGGGGGGGGGGGGNGGGTTGTGATAATGTGCGTCGAAAAAAATCACGTCGAATACAGAACCGTTCCAATTTTTCTGGGTCAAAATATTGTGGATTTGTTCCTGTAACAAATTTGAGGAGATTAATTTTGTGCAATAAACATTTATAGTCATTAATCCTATAATCCTATAAACCAAAGTGGTTAAGGAGTCTTGACATTCCTTGTGGGTGGTCACGGTCGCCAAGTGGTAAAGGTGTCTGACATTCTGCTACCACTATCCCTCCACCACTGGGTCGCAGGTTCGAGGCCTATGTGGGGCAGTCGTCAGGTACTGGCCGTAAGTTGGTGGTTTTACTCCTTGAACAGTTCCGGCTTTCCTCCACAACCAAAACCTGGCACGTCTTAAATGACCATAGCTGTTAATAGGACGTAAAACACAAACAAACCAAACAAACCAAAGGCTCCTGTTGAGTTTGTTATTCTGAAATAGTCACTCTTCACTTTTCCTAGCGATGAAATAAGCATATTTTTGGTATTCTATAAAATTGATACCTGTACAATAATTATGTAAAGAGGCCATTGTTTGAATGTTCGTTCCTATTTGATGACTTTTTCAACAATGGCAGTTGACAATGGCGAACTTTTTCAGCAATTATGTTAGCGACTTTTTTTTCAAACAATTGTTGTTTCCCCGACAAGCACCAAGTATTTTGTACCATCTTACGTTTTCCTCCTGTCTGTTACAGGTGTTGATGTAGACTATGATGGGGCCAGCGCTGACATTCAGGCCACGGAGAGGTCACTTAACCTTTACCTCGACCGACAGAGGACACGACTTGGTTGTAAGGTCAGTGTGATTTAATCACTATGTGGCTTTACCCAAGATAAATAATGTGTACTTGTTTTTTGCAAAAAATATGTACCCTACTGCTTATTGTCCTGTTTAGAAATAGCGTTCCCTTCTGACAATTGCGGTGTGGAGTTGGAAATATATCAACGAAATACAGTTTAATAATTGCAATAATTTAAATAAGTAAGTGATGGAGCGGCAATACCAAGGGTTTACATGTTTTGGATAGCTAGGCCAACCGTCATCAGACTGATTTGTATTTACCTTCCTTGGGTGGAGCACTACTTGAATACTTCGGTATCCACCTTGGATCCCTACACCGGTACATTGACAGACCACTACCCACAGGACGTTAGATCTCCTTACCACCTCGGATCCCTACACCAGTACATTAACAGACCACCAACCACAGGACGTTAGATCTCCTTACCACCTCGGATCCCTACACCGGTACACTAACCGACCACCACCCACAGGACGTTAGATCTCCTTACCCCCTCGGATCCCTACACCGGTACATTAACCGACCACCCCCCACAGGACGTTAGATCTCCTTACCACCTCGGGTCCCTACACTGATACACTGACCGACCACTACCCACAGGACGTTAGATCTCCTTACCCCCTCGGATCCCTACACCGGTACATTAACCGACCACCACCCACAGGACGGTGGATCTCCTTACCACCTCGGCTCCCTACACCGGTACATTAACCGACCACTACCCCCAGGACGTTAGATCTCCTTACCCCCTCGGATCCCTACACCGGTACATTAACCGACCACTACCCACAGGACGTTAAGCTCCTTACCACCTTGGATCACTACACCGGTACATTAACCGACCACCACCCACAGGACGTTAGATCTCCTTCCCACCTCGGATCCCTACACTGATACACTGACCGACCACTACCCACAGGACGTTAGATCTCCTTACCACCTCGGATCCCTACACTGATACACTGACCGACCACTACCCACAGGACGTTAGATCTCTTTACCACCTCGGATCCCTACACCGGTACATTAACAGACCACCAACCACAGGACGTTAGATCTCCTTACCACCTCGGATCCCTACACCAGTACATTAACCGACCACCACCCACAGGACGTTAGATCTCCTTACCACCTCGGATCCCTACACCGGTACATTAACCGACCACCACCCACAGGACGTTAGATCTCCTTACCACCTCGGATCCCTACACCGGTACATTGACCGACCACTACCCACAGGACGTTAGATCTCCTTATCTTATAATTGTGTTGGTTTACCAATGCCTTTATTATTATCATATAGTGTTACCCATGTCTGTCCGATCCCGTCGCGTTGTGTCCCGTCGCATCGCATCGTGTTTGATTGAGTGTAAACACTTAGCAACTTCATTCTTTGACAGATTTTGGTCAAATTTTATACAAATGTAAAACCCTCCATAAAATGGGGGGAGGGGGGGGGAGCATATAGTGTTGCACATGTCCGTTCCTTCCTGTCGCGTCCCGTACCGATTCAATGTAAACACTTAGCAACTTCATTCTTCGACAGATTTTGGTCAAACTTTATACAAAGGCCAAGAATAAGTATACTTCGGACTTCGTTGTGTTTCAGGGATCCAAGGTCAAGGCCAAGGTCACACTTGCTATATATAGAAAATCATTACTGATTCAATTTAAACACTTAGCAACTTCATTCTTTCATGGATTTTGGTCAAACTTTATACAAAGGTCAAATATAGGTATACCTCTGACATACTTGTGTTTCAGGGTTCCAAGGTCAAGGCCAAGGTCACTGTTGCTATATATAGAAAATAATCAACTGATTTAATTTAAACACTTAGCAACGTCATTCTTTCACGGATTTTGGCCAAACTTTATACAAAGGTCAAATATGGGTATACCTCTGACATACTTGTGTTTCAGGGTTCCAGGGTCAAGGCTAAGGTCACTTTTGCTTTATATAGAAAATCATCAACTGATTCAATTTAAACACATAGCAACGTCATTCTGTCATCGATTTTGGTCAAACTTTATGTAAAGGTCAAGTATGAGTATACTTTGGACATTGGTGTGTTTCAGGGATCCAAGGTCAAGACCAAGGTCACTGTTGCTATATATAGAAAATCATCAACTGAATCAATTTAAACACTTGACTTAAAGGTCAAATATGGGTATACCTCTGACATCCTTGTGTTTCAGGATGGTAATAACATACAGAAAAAACATATGAATATTAAAATCAACTTATCAACTTTAAGTGTAGTACCTTGTGTGTGTGCATGTTTCAGGATATCAATATCAAAGTGGTTGTTACTTTTTATAGAACACTGAAACTGATTTCACATGGCAGCGGGGGCATTTACGTCTTACAGACATTTTCTAGTTTCTTTCTACATTGCAATAATTTTTAATCAATGTGTATGTGAACAGATAAAGTAGCAGATGTGGTGTGACAATTACTGTAATTATCCATTGTCCTTCTACTTCACCTTTATCAGTATCTGGTTACTTTCACTGAATAAAGATCAGAATTTTTGTCTCGGTACCACGAGACTTAACTGCGGCAGCATTAAGTTTTTGCGTTTAAGTTAGTTTCTCTGAAAGTATAAGTGCTAGACCAACCAAACTTGGACCATAAACGCATCTTCGGTAGTACATCTCAACCCATGCATCAAATACTGGATGCGGCCTACCTTTCATGGTTCTTTGACTTTGTCAGCATCTCCATCAACATTAAGATTTTGCGTTTAAGTTAGTTTCTCTGATATGTGCATTGATGGTCAAAGCGGGGCATATGCGAGACATATCAATCTGAATGGCTTGTTTAGAAATGTTTCTAGATATTTAAAGTAGATAGCTGTGTATTTGATTAAAATGAAAGTTTCACAAGCACATTATTAACATAATTTGACGCTATTTTTCCTATGGATTGATGATCAGTTAACTTATAGATGAGTTATTTATGAGTTATCAATGTTTGAGCTATTGTTGACTATATTTTGTAAGAATAAGACTTTCAAGATGCAATTACAACTTGTTCCTTTATCTATCGTAACTTCATGTAGAAAAAAACCTATTTTGTTTTCAGATTTTCTGGTCAGGATTTTGTTTGTAATGGGAGTTGTGCATGTATAAACAAACTGTAGTCAGCCAAACACAGGAGTATTATCGTGATGTACCAGTTGTTGATTGTATGACTTCTGTGTTACACAGTGTCATAAAGCCATCACATAAATTATGTTTATGTAATGTGAGTAATATCACTCCGGAAATTACGTCACAATCAAATAGGATTGATGATACTTGTATCTTAAATCTAATATGAAGGGAAAATTATGACAGATCCTCTATATATTAGCCAAATTGTAAGAAATTCTTTCAGAACTTACCGCTGTGTTATTGCTGGTCACATGGAGATTGAGCTGATTTCATTACTCTTCACATTATAGGCTATGACTTTCTGGGGTACGGGAAAGAATCGCTACCAGATGGAGGTTCCTGAGAGTGCCCTGAAGCGTGTGCCTGATGATTACGAGCTCTTCTCATCAAAGAAGGGATGGAAACGGTACAGGACATCAGAAATCGACGAATATTTGTCAGAACTTGCAGATGCGGAAGAGAGAAAAGATGCAGCATTAAAGGACACAATGCGACGAATCTTCCACAGTTTTGATGAGAGGTAGGTCAGTTGATAAAAGAAACATACGCAAGAAATTTGGTAGTTAATTTCGAAGGTAAATGAGTGTCTTAAATTGTTTTCAGTAAAATGGCAAACAAATGTAATTTGAATTTGTAAATTTGTTTCTGATGCAAATAAAATTATAAATTATTGAAATACAAGGTTCTACATTAGTATATTTAGCTCATCTGGCCCGAAGGGCCAAGTGAGCTTATGCCCTGGTGCAGCGTCCGTCCGTCCGTTGTCAATATTTTACTTTAAACAACTTCTTCTCAATAACCAAAAGAACCAGGGTACTGATATTGGGCCTGTAGCATGCTGGGATGAAGGACTAACAAGTTTCTTCAAATAAATGACCTTGACTTATATTCAAGGTCACAGGGATCAAATATGTTAAAAACATTTAAACAACCTCTTCTGAATAACCAAGAGGCCTGGGGTGATGATATTTGGCCAGTAACATGCTGGGTTGAAGGGCTACCAATTTTGTTCAAAGAAATGACCTTGACTTATATTCAAGGTCACAGGGGTCAAATATGTTTAAAAATATTTAAACAACTTCTTCTGAATAACCGAGAGGCCTAGAGTGCTTTAATTTGGCCATTAACATGCTGGGATGAAGGGCTCCCAATTTTGTTCAAATAAATGACCTTGACATATATTCAAGGTCACAGGGGTCAATATATGTTTAAATCTTTAAATAATTTGTTCTGTATAACCAAAAGTTCCAGGGTAATGATATTTTGCTAGAAGCATGCTGGGTTTGAAGACTATAAACTCTGTTCAACCTAATGTCATCAGAAGTCACAGGCATCATATGTTTAAATCTTTTAAAAGGTTCTTACTGATATTCTGCCTGTAGTTGTATTTTAGTCCACTTTTAAGATAGTAAGTGTGAGATTAATACCAGGTGAGCGATTCAGGCCCATTGGGCCTCTTGTTTTTGTTTCCGAACAAGGAATGGTTTAATTAATTCTATTTATAATCAATATTGTTGTTTTAATTAAATGTTTTAAGAGCTTCATTGTGTCATTCCTGTTAACCAATCTTGATGTACCAGTCTCTATTCTTCTTGAACAAACATCCACAAGTACTTCATCAAAGTCAGCATCATGCTTTAATCAGGAATTAATCCTGTTAAAAGTGCTATGCTGACCCGCTGGTAATAACACATTTCTTTTACACATGTCGACTCATCGTTTAACATGTGTTTGACAAAACCAAGGTATCGGGAAATTTTGTACATCCCCGGGCTACAATGTCAGATTGACTGTGCTGTCAAAGTTGGCAGTGTTATAGTGATGTAAATTATGTGTAGCCCCATACACGTGAGCACGGATACAATGAAACTAATCTCAACGCCATGTTCTGTTCTAATATTAACAGTTTCAATGGAACCACAAAAACCACAAAAGTAAATACATGAAAGAATATCAGGTTATTAGCTCACCTGGCACAAAGTGCCAAGTGAGCTTATGCCGTGGTGCGGCGTCCGTCGTCCGTCCGTCCGTCGTCCAGCGTCAATATTTTACTTTAAACGACTTCTTCTTAATAACCAAAAGGCCTAGGGTGATGATATTTGGCCAGAAGCAAACTGGGATGAAGGGCTACCAAGTTTGTTCAAATAAATGACCTTCATCTATTTTCAAGGTCACAGGGGTCAAATATGTTAAAAACTTTAAACAACTTCTTCTCAATAACCAAACTGCCCAGGGAGATGATATTTGGTCAGTAGCATGCTAGGGTGAAGGGCTACCAA